TCTCATTTTTCCATTTCTCTTATTTTTTTCTGGGCTCCACTCAGGAGGTAATGATATTTGCTTACATTGGCTCATATATTGAGATACTACTGTTCCAGTGCTTTCATTTTGTATTTATGTATATACCTCCTCCAGTAGCCGTGCATTAGGCTGCAGTATTTAAAAAAATATACCATCCAAAAGGGTTGCACACAGTGCTCGGTTCCAATCTTATGACTGATATCTGTTGTATCATGAAGTGCCACGTGTGGTTCATCTTATTGGAGAACATTTTGGCGGCAGACAACGTTAAAAAGCCTTCCATACAGGGTTCAGTTGCAATCTTATGATTTATATCTATGACATCATGAAGTGTCGGGTGTGGTATGTCGCTTTAGAGAATAATTCGAGTACTGACAACGTCCAAAGGCCTTCCTTCCGTCCAAAGATTCAGTTGCAGTATTTTTAGCAATATCTGTCACATCATGAAGTGTCAGGATTAGTGAGTTGCGTTAGAGCATATTTCAACTACAGACAATGCCCATAAGAATTTATGAAGCGCATGGTTCCTATCTTATGTCAATATCTGTTGCATCATTGGGAGCCAGGCGTGCTTTCTTGCGTTAGAGGATCTTTATAAAACACACATCATCAAAAGCCTTCTATACAGGGTTCAGTTGCAATTTTATAATCGAGATCTGGGACATCCCGAAGTGTCGAGTGTGGTTTGTCGCTTTAGGGAATATTTCTACTACTGAAAACATCCAGAGGTCTTCCATACAGGATTCAGTTGCAGTCATGTGAGCAATATCTGTCACATCATGAAGTGTCACGCACAGTTACTTGCGTTAGAGCATATTTGGACAACAGAAAATGTTCAAAATCATTCTACGCAGTGCTTGGTTCCTATTTTATGTCAATATCTGTTACATCATAAGAAGCCAGGTGTGCTCTCTTGCATTAGAGGATATTTCTAAAACACGCATCACCAAAAGCCTTCTAAGTAGGGCTTAATCATAGTCTTATGACCAAACTCTGTGACATCATGAAGTTTCAAGTGTGGTTTATTGAATTAGAGAACATTTTGGCTTCAGACAACGTTCAAAAGGCTTCCGCACATGGTTAAGTTGCAATCTTATGATTCATGTCTGTGACATCAAGAAGTGTCGGGTGTGGTTTGTCACTTTTGATAACATACCGACTGTTGACAACGTTCAAAAGCCTTCCATACAGGGCTCGGTTGCAACCTTATGATCGATATCTGTGGCATCACAAATTGTCGTGTGTGGTTAGTCGCTTTAGATAATATTTCGACTACTGACAATCAAACGCCTTCCATACAGGGTTCAGCTGCAATTTTATGATCGAGTTCTATGACTTCAAAAGGTGTTGGGTGTGATTGTTGTGTTTAGAGAATATTTTTACTTCAGAAAACGTCCAGAAGTCTTCCATACAGAGTTCAGTTGCAGTCCTTTGAGCAATATCTGTCACTTGATGAAGTGTCAGCACATTTAGTTGCGTTAGAGCATATTTAGACTACAGACTATGCCCGAAAGCATTTTACGCTGTGCTTGATTGATAGATATGTTGGGTTTAACGTCCCAAAACGACCATATGATTATGAGAGATGCCGTACAAGAGGGCTCCAGAAATATCGACCACCTGGCGTTCTTAAACGTGCACCCAAATCGGAGCACACGGGCCTACAACACTTCCGCTTTCATCGGAAATGCAGCCGCCACAGCCGGGATTCGATCCCGCGTCCTGCGGGTCAGCAGCCGAGTACCTTAGCCACTAGACCAACGTGGCCGGGTCTACGCTCTGCTTGGTTCCTAACTTATGACCAATATCTGTTGCATCATTAGGAGCGAGGTGTGCTTTCTTGCTTTAGAGGATATATCCAATACACGCATAACCAAAAGTCTTCCGTACAGCATTGAGTTGCAGTCCTATGAACGATATCGGTGACATCACTAAGTATTGGGTGCAGTTTGTCACTTTAGAGAATATTTTGACTACAGACAACTTCCAGAAGTCGTCTGTACAGGATTCAGTCGGTAGAGTATTATGACCAATATCGGTCACACCCTGAAGTTTCAGACAGAGTTAGTTGTGTGAAAGCGTATTTCACCTACAAAAAATGCCTAGAAGCATTCTACACAGTTCCTATCTTAAGACAAATATCTGTTGCATCATTAAGAGCCACGTGTGGTTTGATGCACTAGAAAATATTTCTACTGCAGACAACATCGGAAAGCCCTGTACATCAGGATCTATTGTAGTCTTATGATTTAAACCTCACACATCATGAAGTTTTGGGTGTGATTATTAAGTTAATGAGTGATGTATGTTATAAAGTGTAAATAAACTGAATTTACCAGGATATTCTTAATAATATTGAATTCGATAGTGCAGGTATAGCAGCCAGGTAAATTATACACCTTGGTTTTTATAAACCTGATTTATAAACAAAACTAGCGGGACGGCAGCCCTCAGCCACCAAAAAGAGAGGGTGCAGTGTTAGCTCCCTGGGTTATTGTAGTCGGGAGGGGGGCGCTAAGGCAGCCCCTATATTGACATAACCGTGAGGGGATACTCCGGCTAACATTCGCCGTCCCCCTTTAAGGAGAAGCCTATGCACGCCTTTGATAGACGTACACTACCCATGTAGACTTATAGGTAGCAGCGCAGCCACTGCGTTAGTGTGCATTGATCATTGACGTAACCGGGAGGGGGGTACTACGGCGAACATTCGCCCTCCCATCATTAGAGAGAAGCCTACGCACGCCTATAATAGGCGTGTAGTATCCTAGACGTGAATTTTCGTTTGCGGGAGCAGCGCACGCACCGATGTAGATTTCTGGTGCATACCACTGTAGTTACTTTGCTCCCTGCGATGTCAATTACTTCTAAAATACTTAAAACTGTAGTGGGTGGAGCTCTATTATTATTTTAACACGCTATTATATCTTCGGCATCGTAAGAGCTCGCTCCAGTTGAGAACGCGCCTTTCTGTACTGAACTAGGACAGTTTTAAGCCAAAAAATCAAGCAACACTGCGCATCGGCCTTGGACGCGTGAGCGTCCCCGCGGTCAACGCATGTCAGTGGTTGCGTGCTCTTTTACTCCACTAGCGTGACTAGACGCTTTTGACGCGTAGGCGCGTGCGTACGCGTGCTAGTGGTTGGCACTTAAGGAGGGAGAGTATTTGTTTCGAATTTCACACACACCTTTGTTCCAGAGCAAGCCCCGACCATCTGAGTGGTTCCACGTACCGGCAGGTGCCTGGTTGACGGCTGCTTCTCCTCTCTCCCGCTTGTTACAAGGGATTCACGACTCCTTTTTTACGGCTGTTCACCTGCCACCTCCGACTGGGCATAAAAAGTTCTTACCCGCCCAGAGAGTCCATGCTTTTTAGACCACCATGTTCCACGCATACATCCGTTGACAGACGACAACCCCAGGCATAGCAGTTTCTATATACGAAAGAGCCTAATGATAATGGCATTTCTATTAAAGATATTTGTCCCCCCCCCAAAAAAAAACACGAACATCTCGTACATTCTTGCATGAAACCAAATGTTTGATAACCATTTGCCAGCAGCAATGACATCCTTGAAAGTTAGTGCGATAGGCGCTTTGAACAGCAGGCTCGTACGCGAGCAATATTTGAATATCTGCGTCATATATTGTGTCAAAAAAACCTCGTGCCGCTTCGTTAACATTCTGTGAAATTTGTAGTGTGCTTCTGTAATATGCTCCTAAATGTCATGATTTAAATTTTTTTCTAACTTGTATAGCAAATGTTGAGTGTTATGCCTGTCGTGAGTGTCACGGAAGGCCAGTTTTGGCGACCCCACGTCACGGCAATTAACGGGCGCCGTACTTCCCTACTGACCCTGGGAACAGCGGGCGCATGAAAGAGAGCCGAGAGGTGCAGAATGGGGTGCTCTTCTTCGAACGTCGCCGCCAACGTTTGATCCTTTTGTAACTGCGGCGGCGTCTGCAGGGTCGTGAAAGGCCGCGATGTACCACGAACAAGGATTAGGCTACGGAACGCACCGGCTGAGAGCCAAACAGTCTGACCGTTTCCACGGGGACAACCGTGGGAAAACCTCGGGTGGCCAAGCCGTATGACAACACCCCAACAGGCTGTCACTCTCGCTAGTTGAGGGCCCTCTCCCATTCAAAAAAGGGGTGGGGTTAATATATTTTTGGGGCGGAGTTTCCATCAATTAAACGCGCATAATTGGACCCAAGTAGAGGTCTCTTGTCCCCAAGAAAGAGAGCGAGGAGACACGAGGGGGATTTAAGCGCAGGATTTTGCCCTGCTAGGCAGACTAGTCGCTGACCAACATGGTGTAGAAACAGATCATCAAGTATCTCTTCTAGAAGTTTTTAGTGTAGCTCTGTATCGGCTGGCCACCTAAACTTAGCCGTTCGTCTAGTTGTGACGCGATATTAACGTCTGCAACGTAGACATCGGGACTTCGCCTCGAGTTAGCTCAACCTGCCCGAAGTCACCTGCAAGCACTAGCCTCCCGGAGCCACCAGCGTTGCAACACCGCCGACATCGCAGTCGTGCCAGAACTCTCTTGGACTTCTCGCATCCAATCGTCGGGGACGCAACGCTGCTGGTCATCACACGTATGCCTTCACGTGTTTATATCTCCGAACTTTCTTCTCCGTAGTTCTATTGTTAATTTGTGTAGTTTGTAATAGTTCTCTCTCGTAAGCTGAGTTATTGTTTGTTATGTATTTTTTGTTGTATCAAGTCTTGATGTATTTTGTTAGTTGTATTGAAGTGTCATACTAGATCCCGTGTGCTGCAATATCATTAGAGTAAAGTTTGTTTTGTTTTCTCACGTCTCTGATCTCTTCACTGTCTCTGTTTGCGTACGGAACGAACTAACCTGCTGTCATTCCCGTCGCCGACTTCGTGCTGGTGACGCTAGAGTGGCAGCTTGTAACAGCGAGGAACTGCACTTTGCCGTACGCGAGCATGTCATGTGACTGTGCAGATGGAGGAGGAACGGGATGAGCTGCGTGGTGTGGCCCAGAAGGCTGAATCAGAGGCGCGAGAGGCAGCCGATGCATTGTGCCAGATGGCGCAGGAGCAGTCGCGACTGCGTGCTGAGTTCGAAAAGCTGCCGGTGGATCTAGCAGACATGCTGAGGCAGAGGCAAGAAGAACTGGAGAGACGTCTGCGCGAATCACTCGATGCTGTTGCCAAAGAACAGGTAAGAAAAGCATGGCATTACACACACACACACACACACACACACACACACACACACACACACACACACACACACACACACACACACACACACACACACACACACACACATACACACACACACACACACACACACACACACACACACACACACACACACACACACACACACACACACACACACACACACACACACACACACACACACACACACACACACACACACACACACACACACACACACACACACACACACACACACACACACACACACACACACACACACACACACACACACACACACACACACACACACACACACACACACACACACACACACACACACACACACACACACACACACACACACACACACACACACACACACACACACACGCACACACGCACGCACACACACACATACACACACGCGCGATGGTTACGGTGGTAGGCATTGATTGTCTGGGGAAAAGAGCATATCGGCCGTGATGTAGACTTATGGGTAGCCGCGCAATCACTGCTTTAGGATGCATTCATAATTCCCTGCTCTGTGGTGATCGTAAAGGCATTCTAACATTCTAATTCCCAAAGATGGTATTATTCAGTTACAGATTGCCACAGCTAATGCAGAGAGCTTTTATTTCTCTTCCGGTGACTTGCACTATCACCGAGAGTGGCTTGTCAGTTGTCGAAACGGCGACACGTTTTTAGTGTGCGCAGCAAGCAGTTCATTCACTGTAAATTGCACCGTTCGCAAACGGAAAGTGTACACGCTATTAAATTTCTTACTTTTATTCTGTATACTGTAGTCGCTGCATCCATGCTGCTTACATGCGTCGTTTTTGCGTGCTGCTTGCGTGAACATCGTTTTAATTCAAGGAAAATCGTGGTGGCATGGAATAGGCCTGTCATTCTGATTTGGTTACGCTTTCTCGTATTTCCGCAAGTGACTCGAGTGAGTCTCTTGTGATGCAATGTTTTGTACATCCCTCATGCACCACATTCGGAATGAAAGCAAAGTTTGTTCGCGTTAGCTGTGAGTTATCTTGAACGAGCGTGAACAAGCCTCGCTTCGGTGCGCGTTTTCCTCATCACGCTTACCTAACTACAAGAATTGGTCTAAGAAATTCCAATTATAAGTCATCACTGCATATTCACCAACTGCATGATGATCAGTAGGCGAAGCATCTGGAGATGATTCGGGTAACCACGAATCCCCTGCACACTGCCCAATCCAACACGTAACCCTATCGAAAAAGCCAGTGGCCCTGGCCCAGCGCCATACCTGATTACTCAGCCAGTGTGGCGCTGACACTGGGACACTGTCACGCTGCACGAGCCACACTTGTGCTGCACACTGGGACACCCATTATCGGCCGAAATCTGGCTTTTAAACTGTTTTTAGAGATTTGGTCACGCGCACATGTTAACTCACGCTGAAACACGCACGCAGCCAAAAATTAAAAAAAAAGCGGGTGAGCGAGAGTTGAATCCACTGTCTCATCACATCACACATTCTAAGGCTGAGCCGCAACCCATCTGTCATGTGGTGCTAGTAAGGACTCAGGCGAAGTCGACGAAGACGACAATGTTATTGAGCCACTGTGTCACAGAAAAAATGTTGAGAGACGCTTGAAACCCTCGTGGCTCGAGCACTGGGGAGAACGAAACGAGGTTGGAAGAGCAGCAACGTGAGAAAAAATGTTCGGTAGAAGAAGCAGCAACGGCGAGAAGAGTTCCCGGGGCTCCTGCCGACGCCTGGTGTCTCGGAGCCTGTGGCTCTGAATCGCTCAGAAGTCCACGAGCCGGCCCAGAGTTCACGCGAATGTGAGACGCCACAGGCGCCTCGATGACAACTGTTCGCGACCCATGGTTTGACTTCTAGCGAAGCATCGAGTCTCATTCAACGCTGTGAGGCGTTGCATCCGCAACGCTTCACGTGTCTCCAGCCAATCTTCACGGTGAAGTGCGGTCCTTGACTTTCTCGATTCTTTTCTTGTGAACTTATGGGAGCGGCCACCACAAGTGTGCTGATCGGAGGTAGAGGGGGACTAGGATCGGGTGTGCGCGGGATGGCACTCGCCGCGGCAGCGGCTGGCAGCGGGCAGTTGCGGCACGGGTTCTGGTCAATAAAGAAGGTTCTTGGTCTGGCTCCGCGTCTTCCCTGCAGGGTTCTTGGCCGAGCAGCCTCGAAACCACCGGCATTAGGCGCCCCACGTTGGGCGCCAAATGTAGGCTCAGGACTAACGCTTATTTGAAGCACTTAGAAAGCACACAGAGGCAGCGGAAGCAACATCATCTTTACTGACCGCAGCCCCAAGCTAGACTGCCCAGGACGATAGTTATAGCGCGAGAACAAAACGACGACACAGAGACAAGAAGGACATGAAAGACACCTTTGTGTCTTTCGTGTTCTTCTTGTCTCCGTGTCGTGGTTTTGTTCTCGCGCTATAACTATCGTCCTTCTTGTTTCTGTGTCGTTGTTTTGTTCTCGCGCTATAACTATCATCATGCCATACCAACTAGCCCAAGCTGCCACGCTTCTAGACTGCCCAAGCTTGTGCGCTCCAGTACCCAAAAATCAGGGTGATACCCACAACTTGTAGGTTGGTTTATGACTCGTGACACTTATCTTCTTATTGCATAGAATGCGAGTGGCTTGTCTATTAGTTGTTCCGTTTTTAATGAAGTAAATGTTTGAATGTTTGCGTGTGCTACCGAGAATGCCTGATTCGTCCTCATTTTTCAACATGAGGAGGTGATGATGATACACCATGGCACCATTACACAACACCTGAAAGACAAGAACTAATATATTTTTCTTCACCTTAAAATAGTTCAGGTCTCCAATATTTTGATTTTGTCGTTTATACACTCATTGTCTCGTCCGTGCATGCTCGAGCCAAACTGACAGGTGACAGCTTTCTTGTTTTTTGCGGGTTGCCTTGCATCACATCCACCTGGGATGTTTTGCCGCATTGCTTTGTAGTGTAGCTGCTGATGAGTTACGGCAATGGTATATAGTGACTCGCTATGCAGTTAGTCATACGTATGTAGAAAACAGCGTTTATCTGAACTGCTCAGTGAACACTGCAGATTTTGTCTCTCGATAGTTAGGAAGTATTTTCCTCGTTTACGTTCCACGTACTACAGCCGCAGCAGTTCACTCTAGCCAAAACTACTATTAGGCTTAGCGCCGCACTTAGTGGGCCATGGTTGCTGTGAAGACCATAGGTATTCAGTTTTGTTTATTTTTCATTTATTTACAGAATACTGCGGTCCAAGTACCAAGCAGGGGGGGGGGGGCATAATAAAAAGTGATTCACAATGCAACTGCAATAAAAAGAAAGTTCAAGCAATAAAAACATGTTAAGGCAGTAGAACACAGGATAACATTTGAACACTGTAAAATGGCAGCAAGAAATTGCAAAATTGCAACCAGGGAAACCAGAGAATGCAAATCAGATACAACGTGAAACAGTCTAAAATCTTGAGTTGTACGGTTAAAAACGGAAAGATACATAGTTATCGAAGTCAGGATTTTCATTATCACAGAATGCTTCAAAAGGTTATGCGTTCCAATCATTGATCGTCCGAGGAAAGAACGATTTCATGAAAATATTAGTACGTGCGAAGTAAGGTTCGAGTGTAACTGTGCGTATGTCGAGTTTGTCTTGAGATTCGGTTTCTTAAATAAGTTTCTGGACTAATGGTAAGTTTATGGAAATAAAGTGAGTGTAGAAATTTCAGCCGGGCAACAGCTCTTCACTATTGTAAAGTAGGAATATCATTGATGGCCATGATCGTTGTTGGTGAGTCATTTCTGTGGTAGGCATTAAAGATAAAGCGAACTGCCTTTTGCGGCCCCATCTTAATCATCTTAATATCTTTCTTTATATGTGGGTCCCAAACAACACAAGCATAATCTAAATTTGGTCTTATAAAAGCATTGTAGGCCAGCATTTTGATTTTTGAGGGCGCTGGTTTTAATTTGTCTCAAAAAACGAAACTTTCTAGAAGCAGATGAGCATGTTTTAATAATGTAGATTGAGCATGTTAGGTGGCTTGTAATTGTGACGCCCAAATATTTATATTCGTTAACCTCAGTTAAAGGACAGTTGTTGAGAGAAAACGTATAGTTAAAATGGTTGTTCGTATTTGTTGTATGCATGACAACTGATTTATCGCTATTTAATTTCACTGACGAACCTTCACACCACTTAGAAATGGCACAAAGGTTGGATTGCAGGCAGTTAGAAAGAGTCAGCTGAAAATGTAGTTTCAATCACAACTGACCCATGAGTGGTCATATTTTCATCTTCCACTACACAAATGAGCGGCTAAAAACACCAAGATTGGGCATTGCAGCAGATAACTACTGCCGGGGATGTGCAGCTTTGTGTGGTACGAGCCGTAACGACTCACCGCTAGAGTAGGTTGGTCTTCATTACCAGACCTATACTATTGTCATGCTATGTTGCGAGTTATCAGTTCTATCGAAGCCGTTTACGATATATATTCACGGAACTCAATCAAACTTCAAGCAAAGCGCACCCGCGCCAGGGGGGGCACCATGGGTGGGCTGGATCCTCTTTTTCCCAAAAATCTCGCTTGCCCCTCTTCCCCTTACAAGAACAAGCATACTCGAAACAGAACGCATAAGTTATATGCCTCTCTGCCCCCCTGAAGGAACACAATTGTCTTTGGTGCCCCCCTTCCCAGCAAAATCCGGGCGGCGCCCCTGACCCGCGCACTCAACATATGATTGCTTCAGCGTACTCGCTCATATATCGATTGCTTAACTAAATCTAAAGCAATATATGTGTACTACATATATGAGAATACCATCATGTTTGGTAAGTTTTACGCTCGACATCTCGCGATTATATATAGAGTCTTACAGAAAGTGCGCCAATCACGCCTAGTTTCTTTCATTGTGCTGATAATGTTCTCACTGTGCGGTAGAGACTGCACAGCGTGACTAGTGCCTCCCAGCGTGCT